AAAACCATTATACCCTGATTTCCCATTTTCAATGGGTTCAGGGTATAATAAAATATAAAATAAAATAACTGCAAAAATCGACCTGCCTATTCAAGGCAAACTAGTTTCCCTGTCTTTTTTTTTTTTTTCTTCGGCTTTTGGACTCAATCAAAATGATAACGATTATCAAACGAGTTTGACGAAAAAAACATTTTATATTTACACTTTAGGAAAATGTATGGCAGAGCTAAATTGACTACTGAGCTGCTGTCAAACGGGTTTTATTTAGTTTTAAATCATATGTATGTAATTTGTATTTTGGTATTGTGCTGGGGGATTATCAGCGAGTAGATCATATAAAGCTGATTCAGCGCAAAGTGAATGCCAAGCGATTAAATATGAAAGATTATAAAAAACATCACGTGTTGCACTCACCAACAAATCGTTTTGATGTTCTCGTTCAGCGTGCCGTTCTCGGAGCTCTCCTGGTTCTTGTTGGGCTTGAGGAACACCATGGTCTCCTTGTAGCGATTGGCACACACCTCGAAATCCTTCTTGGCCATTTCCGAGCAGGGCGCGTGCTTCAGATACTCTGCGAAGAGCAACACATGGGCAACAGCTGTTGGAGCCGCAGAGCGTGTATTATGACTTACCCTCCTGGAACTCGCCTTTGTTACAGAGATCTCGTATGAACTGATTGGTGCCATGATACAGCTTGTTGAACTGGTTTCGCTGCTGCAAATCCATGCAGCGACGCGTATAGCTCTGGATGCAGCGCACGCCCTTGCGCAGCTCACTGAAAAGCAGCAGCAGGTGCAGAGACATTAGACATTAGACGATAGACATTGGATAACAATCATAATGACGTTAATGCTATTGTTGCAATTCAGACAACTGCGACTGCAACTGCCACAATATCAACAACAGCAACAATAACAATGGGAACAACTTACTGACAAAGTTTATCCAATTCGTCCTTCTTGGCAGCGCCAATCGAAAATTCCGACGTTAAATGCAGCATTTCAAGTGGCTCGGCGCACTTGGTGAACTCCTCCTGGCCGCATTCCTCTGACCTTACGACCGCCATCAGCAACGCTGTTTGGCACAATGCACATTTAAGTTCCAACGAAATTCGAGTACAAAAATGTAACGAGCGGCGTGCGGGCGGTGTGTGTGCGAGAGGGGTGGAACAGAAGAAGACAAATAAACAAACTGGCAAACAAACAGTGGATAGTGCTCAAGTTGAAAGCTAAAAGGCAATCTGAGACTTGGTGCCGCTAAGTCTCTCACACTTCTGGTCCATTCTACCGTTCGCGGGCACTCTTTTTCACTCACTCTCTGCGCCTGTCTCTGTCCCACTCTCGTTCTGCAGAACAAAGTTGCAAATGCGCGTCAAGGGTAATAAAGTTGGGCATAAGTGAAATTGGCATTTCATAAATTTAAACTTTTCGGTTTTTGGTACACTTCTCCTCTCCTGCTCGCGCTCTCGCGCCTTGTTGTCTTCCGCTTCCTCTCCTGTGCAGCGCATCTATCGAAGTCACGCAACTGCCAATAAAGTCGACTGACAGTGCTCGCCTGATCACTGCGATAACTGACAGATGCCTCTCAGACACAAACCCCTAGACACGGACGCAGACGCAGCCTCAGACTTGGATGCAGAATCATACAGAATCAGACTTAGAATCGAGCTTCTTTGCTGACTCGAATTCTGATAGTTTCACATCTTGACCTTTGTCAGGCCATAAATAATTAACACTTACCCGCCAAAAGCAGCGACGTCAGCGCCCTCCAACTGCAGCAGCATCGATGCATTTTGCCGTTTGCGTTTGTCTCCTTCCTTTGCTCTGCTTGCTCTCTGCTCGGTGTTGTTGCAGTTCACGCTTTGCACTCTTTCTCTTTTTGTCTATTGCCGTTTCACCTTGTAATTGCTCTCGTCATTTGTTTCAAGCTCGCTCGCTCTTTCGCTCGACGTCTGCCTTGCAAACGAAAGACGAGCACAAAATAAAATATTTACATATAATAAATTAAAGCAAGAAAAACAAAACATAACCAATAGCTACTAATTGATATGCCTCGAAACGCAAAAACAACAACTGTAGAGCGCTGGTAGCCGATTTTTAGAATTCCCTAAAAGCAATTATATTTATTACTATGAAGATTTTTCTACTTATGCATATCTGCAAATTAGAATCTACAAAATGGGCATCTGAAACATTTTATAATTATTGCTCACCAGCACAATAAACATCATATATACATATGTATTTTCAATTAAGAGTCTGCCTCCCGTTAAATTTATTTATACAAGTCCCATTAAATTACAACACATTTTGAAACTTCGTAGAACGTAGGGTATTATTCATTCATTCGTTTAGTTCGTATTTCATTATAATTTAATGAGAAATTTCAACAATAATTGTGCATAAATTTTGGCATTTGGCAAGCAATATTAATTATTTTGCTGCCATTTTAAAACATTTTAACGAAATTTAAAAATTGTTCTCGGTAAAAAGACTTAAATGTGTACCGAATCGTATTCTAAAAATAATTAAATATATGTATATTTCGTTGTATATTATTATTATTGTGAATGAGTGAGAGCTTAAAAATAAACTGATTTAGTCTTGTCTGGAGAGTAGCAAATAGGTGCAAAGTACAATGCTCATGAAATAAATTAAATGCAAAATTGTTTATGTATATGATGTTCAATCAAAATCAAATTAATTTACCAGTTCCCTGAATAAACATTATATCGATAGTCAAAAGTTTAACATTAACGAACAACCTTAAACTGGGATAATTGAAAATTGAAATCTAAAAAATTAAAATAAATGAAAAGAGAGAATTACAGATTGAATGTTGGTTAGAAAACTGCCGTTTATCATATATAGATCATAATATATTGCCGAATATTAAGTTAATACTTAATATGTTGTTAAGTATAGCATTTTCTGTTTGCACTTTTCTATTAAAAATTGATCCATATAAGGGAAATACGCCAATTTCTTTCTGATAGAATACCAATTAAAATATCACGCAAATAAACTCAGACTTGAATAAAGATCATTGAAGCAATTGCAAAGAAATAATCAAGTTCCCTAAGTGTATTTGGCATATGCAAATTACATGTTATAGTTGATATACCCCACTGAACGCTGTTCCACACTCTAGGCGTGAGCGCATAAAACAGAGTCACAGAAAAGATTAAAACAAAAGACTAAAATGATTTTGTTCTGCAGTAGGCATCTGTGCCAAATTATTCTTTTTTATTTCAATTTCTTTTAGCATTTTCTAATGCATCCCATATACAGATGTGTTTGAGTGAGTGCGTCGCTTATTTATTTGTATTATTGGTTTTCAAGAACTTTAGTGCACTTAAACGTAAAGAAATGAATGCCCATGTTTGTCTTTAATCAATAGTAAACAAATTGCAAACTGCAAAAATATATTTGCTCACATTAATAGCTGTGTACATTGGGGAAGGTCAGCTATTAGTTTGCGCGCCTATATGTATATGTTTTTCCATTTTAATAGAGTTGTGATATTTACGGAGAATCGATCATTTTTGACATAGAAGTATAAGAAGTGATTAAAAGTGCGAATGGATAAAGGGCAATCGCATTCAATTCTCATTGATCAGCTGTGTTTCAATTGGCAGCCAGAAGGAAAACAAAACACTTAAACCATATTTGCAACGAATGGGAAGATGCGAGAAACAAAAATCGAATGTCCGCACTTTTTGTTGCTCAAGTAAAATGTAAATGAAAACGAAATTGCAATTGAGCGAGCGTTACTTCTGAGAAAGATCGCAATTTGCTGTTGCCTTGAAAGTGAACGGCGCGGCAACGGGGTGGAAGGGTGCAGAACGTGATGCAAAGAGTGCAAAGATACTGAAAGAATGCAGTCGGACGAGCCTCTCGCCCGCCGCTGCGATGCAAAGCGATGTGAAGCGATCTGCGTACAGCCGGCATATCATAGAAATCAGGTTTTTCCTATACATTTTTGTACATTTTATTGTTTGTGATTACTTTTCATTTACTGGTTTTATGGGTAGAGAGCGTTCACACCTGCGCGACGATCAGAAACGATATTTGAAAACACTTTCCCAAGTTTTGAGAGCTGCTGTCCAGACGCAAGCGCGCCGCGTTGTTCGCCGTCCGAGTAACAAAAACGTACTGAAGAAGCGGTCGCCGCATCAGAAGCAGCAGCAATAGCCCAAGCAGCAGCAGCGGGCGTCACCCGACCCCACAGCTCAGGCAGCTTCGTGGGTGCACGAATGGCCTGCGCTAGGCGTTCGCTTTACACTCGGCATGCATGTTGCTGGCAACATTTTAGATTGCTGCTAGCCGGAGCTGGCAACAGGTTTCTGCATGTTCTGCATGTTCCCAAGCACTTGTGTTGTTATTGTGTTGACAGCTGCAGTTGATAATAAGCCAATCGACGCAGCTGACGCGATAGCTCCCTAAACTTGTAATGTTTTTGTTTTAGTTTTTTTTCGTCAGCGTGCACTTGATTTATAATAAAGAGTTGATAATTTTTTTGTATTTAATTAATTGAATAAGCCAAAGCCAATTGAATTTCCTGTCAAGGCGATAAGATTTGCTCGCCAGCTATCTCTCAAGCTGATGGCCTCGTCAATAATAAGCCAATAAGCCATAGACAATTGTTCCCAATAATAATTTCATTTTGCTTTGTAAAATATTATTTGTTGATGTTTGCGTAACACAAACACCACCAACAGCAACAGCAAAAGCAACAGCAACATCAACAATAACAATAAGAACAGCAACCATAACAGGAACAGGAACAGACATCAACGTCACTTAGCTTCAAGTGTCGAAATTTACACGTGTGTCCTTTTGTTTTCCTTGTCACGCAGATGTGCTGCCGTTTCACTCACACCCTTGCGCCTGTCAAGTGCCATGAGAAGTGGCCGCAGGTTTTTGCTTTTATAATACGGACAACCCGCATCCAATAGGGTTGTATGAGTAAGTAAATGCAGTACAACAGTTTTAGTATTGCTAACAAGATGTTATTATAAGTAAACCAAAAAATTAACATAAATGTAAAATATTCGTAAATGTACGTTTAGTACATTAGAGCAGTATGGGTATTCCTTAGTCGAGCAATAATTCATTATATGCTTTTGCGTTTGTTTGCGTTTACTTAATATGCAACATTCCGTCGAATTGAGCTTTGTTTGTTGTGTGCCAATTTGTCGCACTGTTTATTTGTATTTATTGTAAATATTAACTAAATTAGTCAGCGATTTCATTTGTGTTTTTATACCCTGAACCCATTGAAAATGGGAAATCAGGGTATAATGG